AGTTAATTGTCTTGACTGCCAGCATGTGCTTTTTTATAGGTTAAATCTGTAGTTTTGCACACCTTGAACGGGGCCAGATTCAGTGTGGCTGTGGAGTCTTTTCTTAAGACAGGTTATATGTGCTCTGCATGAAACAAGATTATTGTATTTATTTCTTCAATCTGGTGGCTGCGCATGATATTACTAAATTAAGTTGAGTTCCTCGGTCAAGCAGGATTTTGTTTTTTCTCACGCACATTGTGTTTGATATTCATCTGCAGGGCAAGTTCCCTCATTGCACGAGGGGAATGTGAAGGAAAATATATTCAATTTTCCGTGGTTGAATGATAGGTCTATCTCTCTAGGTATGCTTATAAAATTAGGATTGTTTCTCTTGCAAGCATACAATCACACATGCATGAATCATCTGTGCCTGATTTGATATGAGGTTTGTTCCCACTGTTTGGCAGGACCAAGGTTTAAAGATGCATTTCAAGATCCAAGAGCATATCTTGCCATCGAGCCTCTCTTCGAGGTAATGCCCCTACCTGATAGGAAGCGTACTTGAGTGTGGTTAATCTATCTTTACCACTATGGATCAAGTACTTCTTTTGCATTGATTGCCCATTTATATTTCTTACATCTGTTGAATGTGTGTCACTGAACAATGACAGAGAGAGAGATATATAGTGACTTATAATCCATCAAAGGATAAAGTGTATGCATTGCTCAAGGATCAAGCGAAGCCGGATGACATAGTAAAAGCAGCATTCCACGTGAGAGATATTTGACTGCTTTGAATTGTATACTTGTTACATTAGGAAGAAAGAATTTGCCTATTTATACACATCATTTGTATTACAGGCCCATGTGCTTATGCATTTCATACATTCATCAAACAACAATTGCTCTTCACCCAGCAAGCAGCAGGAATATGGTCATTCAGACTTTATCCTCACAGCTGCTGATCTTGAGTCTCATATTGCTGAGTCGTGCAAGATGGTCTCAACCTTGTATGCTCCTTTCAAAAGTAAAGCTGCAGAACAAGTAAGTAGAAGTCAATTGATCTTGTTTATGACCATTATATCTGCTAGCAAACAACTGTTCAATGTAGAAAGGGAAAGATCTTAGATCTGCCGTGCACTGCACTTGCTTGCTTTACAGATTGTTGGCTTTTGTGATGATTTCCTTTCTTGAGAAATATCTGAAGTGCCAACAAATAGGAAGACTAGACATCTACTTGTATACAGAAGAATGTTTGGCAACTAGATCACATTTACAATTGCAGCTCTTTTAAGAAGTAGAAGAGATGAGATCGGTTGACATCCCCTTTTAAATTGATGCACAATCAGTGGTTCAAGTGCCCAACTATCCAACATCAGGCTTCTAGAAATATTAATATTAACTAACTCAAACTCGGTGTTTGAAAACACCTGAAAGTGCCTTTTGGTGCAACATTGCCCAGGGGTTGCTATTGGAAAGCATTTCGGTTTTTAGCCCGAGCTAGCACCATCTTTGAACATCTCTGCTCTGTTGCAAATGAACCCAAGAATGAAATGAAATTCCACAATGTGATTGGGTGTTCTGGACATTGATGCTTGATGTCTGATATGGTTATGATACTCATGTTGACATGCGTGATTTCTTTTTTCTTTTTTTCTTAGGGTTGGAGAATGTCAGAATCGCATCTTAATCCTGGCAGAGCTAGGCTCGTGTTAAATAGCTAAACAGGATAATTCACCCTCAAAACTACCATTTTTGTAAAGCCAGGTGCTCAGACAACATTCGATACTGCGGACAGGTCAACCGCCAGATCATGGAAAACATGCACCTGACCAAGAGCTGACAATAGATGGCAGGGCCATGGTGAACATGGGCACATCAAGCTGGTCAGTTTTTTCCATTAAGCACCCTCAAAGCAGTTTACAGTGCTGCTTAGAGATGAAGTTGGATATGCCAAGGCGTGGCTTTGAGTTGTATATTCAAGTCATTGCATGTTATAGAATGAAGCTGTATCGTAATACATATACGAGAAAAGTTTTGGGTTTTCTCTTTGTATATTTTGGCTTTTTTATTTATTTAGGTTCTTTCTTTGTTGTTTGTCTTTTTTCTTCTTGTAGACAGTCTGCATTGCCTCAATGTTCTGTAAGAACCCATTGAAATGCATTTTAAGATCAAAGCTTTTCACGTTTGCTCAAATGTTAGAAGAGATTAAAGAATGATGTGCTATTTTCATTTCTGCGACCATTCTCTGTACACAGTAACTTCCAAGTCACGAGCACTTTAACAGTGAAGGTCATGATAGAACTGCTTTTCAGCAACATGTTCAACTTCAATCACATCTGCTGCCTGTCTGCTGCATGTATCTCTTGGCATCCTGTGTATGACCGGTTAGCTTTTGCTTTATCTGGGGGTAGAAGTGACTAGACATTGTTTTTTTCGGTACTTGGATAGCAGATTTATTTTGTTTTCGCTGGCGTCTTAATTTTAACCAAGTGTAAAGTGAAAACTGCATGCTTATGCATTTACAGTATACACAAACGCGCACATATTCTCACATACATGAAGTATGCTTCCCTGATTGATTGGATTGTCGAGGGAAATATATCTCAGTGGCAAACAAGCCATGTTGTTTTAAAAATTTATATATTATTCTTCAAGAAGTTGCCGTTGTTTTTATATTTCTCTTCCAGGAATCTTGATTTGTGGACCCAATTCTTGTGAAAATAATCCATTCAAACAGCTAGCAATGTATGGGTGGTAGATTGGCCATACGTCCCAGCACTTTTCACCAGAGTTTCACACAAGTTTTTATTAGAAAGGTCAACGGGGATGTCATCTCATAAAATATTTCCTCAATAATATTAAATACTGGCCCAGAAGATCATGTGGACTCTTTAACGAGGGAGACTTCGTTTTTTTTTTGGTTTCATTCTCATTTTCAATTGTTATCCACATGGCTGTCAAGCTCGGCTTCCTCAAGGTTTATTTTTTAAATTGAATCAGAAAAAAATAAAGACAAGAAAAATAAAATAGAACAAGCTAGAAATGAAGATGAAATTATGTTTGGTAATAATATATAAGATATAATAATATATATTATTTTTAGCCTTCTGCCATCAAAATTAACTCAAAATTTTCTTTATTTTTATTTTATGATCTTCAACCAAATAAGTTTATATTTTTATTGTCTTTATTTTTTGTTTCTAAATAGTAACCAAACACTACCTTACACACTATCATTTATGCACAATATCATTTCAGAAGATATATATATATATATATAGGTGAATCCATGTTATTTCCACTGTATAATTAATCTGCATTCTGTGTTGTTATTTCCACTGTATAATTAATCTGCATTTTGGGATGCCAATTGAAAAGAATGTAAAGTTGCTGGCTTTTTTATTTTATATTCCTACACTAATGTTATAGAATTTTATTATTTTTGTAAAAAACCGAGAGAGATGCATTTGAACCACTAATATTAAATTCGGTTAGGTCTAGTAGGTCAACTCGAAACATAATTAACTTTTCTCTTGGCCTAAGCTGAGTCTTAAAAAAGCAACTTGGAGTTCATTCTAGTCAATCTATGATTAAATTAATCGGTCAAATTCAATTAATTTTTTTTTTATCAAAATGATGTTCTTAATTTTTTTTAAGAAAAGAATTAGATAAACTTGGAACGATCTGAGTTAACTTATTTGATTTATTACCCGAGCCTTTGTCAAAACAATCTTAAGTTGGGTTACTTGACATAAAACTTCAAATGAAAAATCTCAAGGTTTAACCACCTAGATGTCTCCTTGATGACAAAATTTTCATAATTACATTAATGTTTAAAGGTGGATTGCTACCAAAAAATTAACAAAAAATCATCATTTTTATTCCGAAACTAATACATTTTTTTTCTGAAGTTTATTTGTTTATGCATTTGAAACTATATTATGTGATTTTTAAAAAAATTTATTTGAAATTAATTCATTTTTAGTGTTTTTATATTGTTTTGATATGATTATTTTAAAATTAACTTTTTTTTTTAAAATATTATTTTAAAAACCACTTTAAAATTCAACAACTAACACACTTGAAAACACCACACCACGCGAAATATATGCTGTGGATGGCTTTGGTTTGAATTATGTGTTTCAATTAGGGACACAAGTCAAGTCGAAAAAACAAGACAGAATTAATGACACAAAGGGATGCATGTGAAGCCATGCAGAAATTAATGCTGGTGGAGTAGGCAGCTGCTCTTTTAACCATCGATATCTACTTATTGAAACATGCATGCCACACTAAAGTCCTCCTCCAATTACATGAATTGATTTAGGGTTATAGTTGTCATGCCGCCCGACACAAGAATCGATTAGGAAAGAGATTGGATTCCTTAAATCATTCAAACATATATATATATATATATATAGGTTTTTATTTTTATGTATTTACCTAGCTGAATTTAAATTAAATCATTAAAAACTCGGTTAAATCAACTAGATTTTATTATATTATTCAATTAAAAATTTATTTAGATTTTTAACATTAACTTATCGAGTAAACCCGAGATTAATAATTGTACAAAAAAATCACTAATCCAACCCCAAGTTTGTTCTCTCTAGATCTTCATTCTCTGACTGGCTGGCAGTGATATTTGAGATTGAAAATGGCCATTTACTCTCCTTTAGGGTTATATTTAATTAAATGAGAAACTATATATTATAACCTGTATACCAACTGAGATACCCGTTTGACCAATCTTAAGTTAACAGATATATAGTTACAAAAATCTTGAATAAATCTTAACACCTGATTATGTGCAATATATATGGACGATACGCTCAACATGCTAAGTAATTAATTGGTATACGCACGCACGCACGATATATTATAAGATATGGATGCAAATTAATTGATGCATAATTATGTTATGGTTCTAGTATAATAGTACCATAATTAAATTATGGAGTATATAATGGATTAATTAATTATGATGAATATATCATTAAATAGATGATGAGTACTAATTTAAACTCAAGCATTGCATATATAATCAATCAACCCACTTCCATGTACTAAAAATGGATTAATGGACAAAAACACCACCCGAAGACTGAAATCTCCAATGATTAATTAAACCCCAATTTTCCTAAATACTAGAAACAGGTCCGAAAGAAAAAAAGAAAAAAAAAAGGGGAAAAAGATAGTGTAAAAAAGTAGTAGTAGAGGAATTACTTCTCACTGACAAGTAGGGTTAAACCAAATCTGGCTACTTAAGAGAGAGATAGAGAGATGATAATGTGCTGGGCTAATCTTCTTAACTGTTTGAAGTGGTTGTGGTGGTGGTGGAAGGGTTCTTTTTAGCAAGACTGTGCTTGTTGTTGTGCATCCAAACCTTGAGTACTCTTCTCTTGACACCAATCTCCTGGCAGAACTGCTGCACTACTGTTTCTTCTTGCTTTTGTAGCTTCCACCCAACTTTCTCTGCAAAGTTGAGCATTTTCTCCTTCTGTTCCTGTGAGAACTTTGTCCTAAACCTTTTCTTCATCAGCTGTGCAGGCCTGGCCATCAGTACCCCACCTCCATCTTCCTGCTCATCAGATTCTGAAGGAAGAGACCCCATGTTGTAGGACATTATCATCTGGTGGTGGGGTGCTGATGCTCTCGAGGGTATAAGAGTACCAGTGGCTGTAGGGTAGCCTAAGGCCTCAGGGCCTAGAATGCTCTTGTGGTGACCTAAAACAACTTTCCTTCCAAGCCTGTTGAAATGTGGGCTGTTATGGTAGCAATGATCCCCGGCACATGAGGTGTGTTCACCTTCAATTTCTTTCCTGTGGAAGTTTCTGTGACAATTGCAGGCTGAGCAAGTGAGAGCTCCTATGCTACCCTCTTCACCACTGGGCATGAACTCACCACACCCATCAGTGGCATTCCCTCCCATGGAAGCTGCATGGTTCTTGAGGCATTCCCTGTACCTAACCATTTTCTTGTAAGGCACATGATTGTCGTCTATACTTGCTGTTGTTATGGAAGGGCCATTGTTGGAGCTGGGGATTTGTGGTGCCGGGGAAGGGATGATATTGTTGTGGTTGTGGGGCACTGCAGGATGATCATGATGGATCAAGTGGCCATGTCCATGCCCATGACTCCCTCCAAATGTACTGTTCAGTGGGATGGGGATCCCCCCCTCATGACTTGAAAGTTCCATTTCCTTCCTCTCCACTTTTTGGACAAATATTTTACTTGTTTCTTGTTTGTTTGTTTGGAGACCAAAAGAGAAAGAACCAGACAGGAAGCACAATTAAGAGGCTTAATGATTAGAATTAAAAAAGTGGGCTGTTTTCTTAAAATCCCAGGCCTTTTCCTTTTTAATAATGGCAATGGTCTACTTTTCTTGATGCAACACAACACACTTGGAGACTATAGAACCTAGCTTTGAACACTTGACACCATATTTATCGATCTTAGAAACTCTTCTACCCCCTCGAAAACTAAAAGGAGACAAAAGCAAAAACAAAAGACCTAATCTTAGGAATCACAGGAGCTTTGGACTTTGCTAGCTTAAGGTGATCGCGTAGCAGAAAGAAAGAGAGGGTTGCTATATGATGAAGACAGACAAGGGTGGTCAGTCTTTTGATAAAAAAAAGCTCAATTAAAGCAAAAAAAAAGGTTCAGCAACTACCTAGACCTTCATGAACGCCCATCTTAATTCTTACTTCGACGGTCAACTTAGAAGAAAAGGAAGGGAGCAGGAGACTCACTAGCGGTGTAGACTCAGGAGCTGTCAATACCAATATGTATGATCAAAAGAACCACTTTGTCTCTCCACACATTTCCATTTCTTGAAAGAGAGTGAGAGAGGTCGGGGGGGAGGGGAGGGGAGAGACAACCCTCAAACACTAGACCCTATATATATAAAATACAAGTAAGAAAACGATGGGGCATGGGAGCTAGCTAGTTGGGAACCTAGCTCTAGAAACGGAAAGAAAGAAAGAAAGAAAGAAGTGGCTTAAAGAATAGGAAGACAAGATATATAGCGTCAAGAATGAACTCGTCTAATTTGATGACACCGAGCTTAAACACTTTCCGCAATGGTTGTAAGAGAAAACAAGAAGGTTCTGGCTAAGAGGGGGGAGGATTTGAAGAGAAAAAGGAGTGTAACAAATGGGTGGTGAAGGAGAAGATAGAAGAGAGAAGAGAGATGGGAGAGAGTTTGAGAGGAGGTGGGTTTTACTGGGGAAGCAAGCACTAAACAAGGAGCTTATAGAAGTGTTGAGGGCCAAAAAGAAGAGAGGGGAGAGAGAGAAAAGCAGATTTTTTTACTGAAAAAGAGGAAGACAGTGTGTTTTAGTGAAGGGCATTAAAAAAGAAGAAGAAGAAGGTGGGGGTGCTTCCTTTGCTTTGCTTGCACTATCAGGCATCAAGGGTTTACGCCATGTAGAGAGCAGTGTGTCAGAGAGTGGAGAGGACAAATGAGAGAGAACCACAAAAAGAATTATGAAAAGAAATGTTCTTAGAAAAGAAATTGGACCCTAAATCTCTCTCTCCCTCTCCATCCCTCTAGAACTCAAAATTAATAAGTTAAAGAGGCTAATCCCATCAATTCTGCTTGGAGCCATGGTTATATGCCTTGCTAGCAAGAAAACCCCGCCTGCCATATCTTGATAGGTTAATTTGATGATGATGAGCCGTCGAAGAGGGCCTGGTCTGACCAAGTCGATCTGTGATTCAAAAATGATGCTAGCTCATATTAATTTATAATCTCACTAGCTATAGTACCTTAATGCAGCAACTCTCCCATTAAATTTGAACTATATACAGTGTCATGCAATCCATGTGAATGGTTTACATTCCAGACCATGTCATCAATTACACCAATCATTTCTCTCTGCAAGCAATGTTGTTAACTTGAAAATAGAGAAGAAAAAAACACAACATACCGTTCAAAGAAGTAGAGTAATAGCTAGTGAGTTGTTAAACTCGGCTTGATTAGTAGGTTGATTTAGAAAACTTGTCATCTAAAACTTAACTTGCCTAGGTTTTAAGTTAAACTGATAATCAAGTTGATTCATGATATTCCTATTATTGATCGAGTAAACTTATTCAATTCCTTTAGAGTTAACTCTAAAGATTTTTAAAAAAAAATTAAAATAACATCATTTTAAATAAAAATAATTAGCTTAAATTAACTTAATAACTCATAAATTAACCTGATAATCTAGTAACTAAATTATTTTTCAAATCAAATCTATTAACAATCTTGCTTCCCAAGCTAGATTATTGTAAAAATTCAAAAAAGAGACCCTTTAACATATATTTTAAAGAAAAAAAAATAATCAAGCTCTATGTTTAATTTAATAGCTAGGTATTTAAATTGTGAGATCACCTTGGATAATATTTACATGTAATTTCTGATTCACTATTTTGAGGGAATATTTACTTGTTTTTAAAATTTACAGAAACTCACATTAAAACTACTATAAAAATATATTTATTTTATGTTTTTATCTTTGTATTTTTTAACTAAATATGTTTATATCTTTTCTATTTACCCTATTAAAATACTAACTAAACACAATCCGGTGGATTAATTTCCCAGAGCTACAACGAAAATGGAAGTAAATCAAGCTTATTATATACCTTAATTTTATGTTTCTATTTCGAATGGTAAATTGCTCCCCACAAGGAATTGTCAAAAGCAAGATGCAAAGCTAGCTAGGTTTAGAGGTCACGATTGAATGGAACTTTGGGCTTAAGAAAAAAAAGAGAAAAAAAATACTTTACTATATAATTCTAGTAATTTTAATGTAATATTGCTTCCCTTTCCACATTTTACACTCGAGAGAGAGAAAAAAATAAAATAAAATTTAGCCCCACCTTTATTAAATGTGATTATCCAAATCACTTTATTCTTCATTATCCCTGCCTTTATTCTACAATCCACACCACATTTAGAGACTTTATCCTTCTTTAGTTTTTTTGTTCTCATCTTTGTTGTCCCTTCTTCTAGTAATTCCTCATGACCACTATTACTATTACTTTATCTTTTTTCAACTTTTTTTTTATTCTTCTATCATTTTCCTAGTATATGAATTATTGTTTTACAAATAAAGAGTTACTTTTTCATTATCAAAATATCTCACTTAGCATATAATTAATATTCCATACAAGTCCATTTAAATTATAATTATTTAAAAAATAATATTATATTACTAAGATATTAGTAAAATTAAAAGATATCATGTTGATATGTTAAATTATACCGAGTTTTATAAATAAAATAAAATATTTATTTTGTTTGTTTTTATGTTTTAATAATAATTTAAAAAATATAATTATTTTTGTTTTTTTTTTAAGTTAAATTTTTTTAATGTTTTCATATTATTTAAATATATTTATATTAAAAATAATTTTTAAAGGAAAAAAATAATTTATTTTTTTCAAAAAAACAACGTTACAACAGTTCAAAAATCAATTAATCCTTGCAAATCATGCACTGAAACTGGGAGGGAGGGGAGAGGATGGTTAATTATGGCAAAGGGTCCACAAGAATAAATGGTGGTGACGACAGAAACTTGATCACAGTTTTCAAGATGTTCAGAGCCAAAATTTCTCACTTTGAGAGGGAGGAACACGCATATCCATCAATCTCCATCACTGCCAGCCCAAATTCTCTGGTAATGCTTTCAGACCCTCTCCATTAGTAATTTCTAGATATGTTCGCAACGTGTGTAATTCTAATCGACCGTATACTGTGTCAAAACAAAAGATACATGATGATAATAAAGATGATAGAGGGAATATTTTGAAAAGATAAAAAAAAAAATTAAAAAAATTATATCTATTCTAAGATTTTCTTTTTGTCTCCATCCATCTAGTTAATAGGGATATCTTCAAATATTATCCCAACACAATCGGTGCCATGATATAAGAGCTAATAAGGATATTTAAAAAAAAAAAACAATTTAAGGATCTATATATCCTCTCTCTTTATATATATAAACTCAAAAAAAAAAAAAAACCGTGGCTTAGAACTTGCCCTATATATGTAATAATGTCAAAAAGCTTGAAGATTTGGCCAAGCTTTTTTTAGCTGGCTCAATCATGCAGATCGAATCGTGGGTATCATCTTTTTTTTCTTTTTATTCTAAGGTAATATATACTTATGTTTTTGGGGCCAGGGATCTTATGATGGGCGTGGACCATTTTATCTACTATTCTAAATATTATTATTTCTACTTGACAGGAAGAACATCAAATTAAATATGTTTTTGCAAGCCGTTTCTTAATTTATCTTCATGAATCACGACGAGTTTTACTTGGAAAAAAGATTAAAATCAAGCACAGAAATTGTCCAGTGCCGGATGCAAAAATGTTTTAATTTTTGGTGTAATTAATTTTAATTACAAATCAATCAATGAATCCCTTATAAATCTCATGCCAATTTCCTGTCATTAACTTATTGTAGATAAATAAATAAATTATATTGTCTTTTCCAACAAGATCACACGAAAACTAATTCCAGATCGTAAAAAGTAAAAATAAAAAAGCAATGATATAACATTAATTAATTAGCTGCTTCACAACATCAAATCCATCAGTCAGAATCTTGTTATCTTATTTTATTTAATAAGAAAAGGTACTAATCATTGTCAATTGTTGATTAATAATTAATTAAATGTGAGCAAAGACATAGCTTTTCCATATGAATATACCTTTCATATCTTATCCAACAAAACCTTTAGAATGTCGATGTGCTCTATCTAACCCTATTTGCTCTTTCTTTCTTTCTTTCTCCTACTTTATTTTCAATAGATATAATCTTGTTGAATGGTTAATTTGATTAAGTATATTAAATTAGTACATATATATATATATATATATATATATATGCCGCAAGAAAATTATTATTTAATTAAATGCTCTCCATACTATCTATCTTTCTTCACCTACCTACTAACCTTTGATATTTTATGAGTGCTTGTATATATATATATATATATGGGGTCAGTTAATAATAAGATGGGTCCAAGAATGTATGATGATTTGCCTGCTTCAAACCAAGTCGCAGTCTCATCGATGGGAGCATTGATTGTATAAATGACTTCCTTCATGTTGATATATATAACCATTCGATAGGCATTAGCATAAATTAATTTTCATATATATATATATATATATATATATGAAAATCCTTATAAATCTATAATTATATCAATATGAATAATGTGTATTTAAAATTATTTTTTAAAAATTATTTTGTTAGTTCGATGCGTGAATTGGCTTGAAAACACTCTCTTGTCGTCGAATTTTGGGTTAATTTATCTAATTACATTCTCATGTGAAAATAAAGCTTGATGATTTATTGCCATGCACAATATTTCCCTTGCCTTGCAAGAAAACGAGGACAGGAATAATTCGAATGTAGGGCTGTTTTTCTCACAATGTGCGACTAAAGCAATTCGTTGCTTAGCTGGGAAAAGGCAGAACAAGCATCCATACAATTTTAAATACAAATTTATTATTTATTAATTATTTTTACACAGTCATATTGTAAAGAGGATTTGTTAATATTTTAATTGAAGAGTGCTGCCTTCTCTTAGATATTTATTAGTTAATTAATGAAAGGAAATTTATTACTATGGTCGACTAGCTAGCTAGCGTAGGGTTACCCTAAAATTAATCAAAAAGATATCCCCTTACATATTACTTTTAGATACCACCTTCTTCTTTTTTCCCTTTCTAATTTTATTGGTGCCCTGTCTTAGGAAACAAAGCTTTCCTTAAAGATGCCACTCATTCTCCATTTTCAAATGAAATTATGTAAATCTCATTTTCTGGGTTTGCTTTGGCTAGCTTAGGGCATGCTACCCAACAAGACAACACGACTAGCCATTATTATTTTCCATTTAGGGTTATTTTATGTATGAGATAACAACAAGACTTAGTTGTGATCCTATGTTTTGATTGATAAAAGGAGTTGCTTATCTATGAAACCTTTTTATCCTTTATTTGACAACTCCTCCATAATCCTTTTAGCTTTACATATCAACTCGATAATTATTAGACCGGTTATTAATCTAGATTTAGTTTTAAAAAAAAATCAAACCAAAATTAATTTAGTTTGATTTGGTCAATACAATGAATTAATTTATAATTTAATTGATCATGTCGAAACTCAATTTATTTTAAAAAAATATATTGTTTTATTTTTTAAAAAAAATATTAAAAGATATTATTTTAGATGGACTCGAATTAATTTATTCAATCTATAATCCATATTTTAAATTGAATAGTAAACAAGACTGAATTTAATAACATTATGAACAAACAATCTATATTGTCTCTTTGTTCTAGATTCAGGAATGTGAAATATTGCAAGATTGACCACCACATAACAATAGGCATCATTAATTCTTGCTAGCTTCACACTCATGTCTCCACACTCTCTCTCTCTCTCTCTCTCATGTTCTGAAACATATGTGTGAATTGTTGACGATCGTTTTCATTCTCCCAAAAAGAAGAACATGTCTTGAAGATGTTTTTAGCTAGCTTGAGCTTGAAATGTTCAAGGCATATGTAGAAAGCAATTTCTTTTCTTACACTGTTAAGATTCGAAGCTGCCAAGCTATCATTCTACCTCATTTTGCACTCATGTTGTTTAAATGA